ATATATTTACAAATGATATCTACAAACTATGAATATAACAACTTGTATTGCGATAACCTACGTGCCTTTTCAATAGGGACTTGTAGGTTGACATAAATTAAACAAATGAGGAGCATAGATTCCATCACTAGTGTGTCCTAAAGTAGTGTAGTGCAGATTAACGTTATGAAAGCCAAATAAGAATTTGTCATTGACCAGGATTATTTCACTTCCCTGTGCATGAGCATCATCTGTTATAATCGTAGTGCACTTTGTAGCCTAACAAGTTGCTTAAGCCAAATAAATACTAAATCCTATAGGAAAGAGTTCCCTAGAACAGTGGTTCTCTCAATTCCAGTCCTGGGGTACCACTGCTTTGCACATTTTGTATGTCTCTCTTATCTGACGCCCTCGGTTCAGTTAAAGGATCTCCCTCCTAACGAGCTGATGATCTGAAACAGGTGCGTTAAATAAGGGAGACTTACTAAATGTACAGAGCAGTGTGGTACCCCAGGACTGGAATTGAGAGCCACTGTCCTAGAGGAATCCCTGTCTAGTCCAAAGCCCCGCCCCTCGCGCGTGGCGCTGTCCATCACAGTAGTGCTGCTATCTGAAACTCCGCGAGCTCAAGCGCGCGCCCGAGCAGATCGCTGCTGAAGCGCGAGGCGACGGAGGTAAAGTTCTGCGGCTCAGACTCTGAAGGATCACAGTCCAGCGAATGAGGAGTGCATTCACGCACCATGTTCTGCGATTTGAACACTGTTGCTTGAGAAAAGGAAGACTGCTGTAAACTTGCAATCATGTTTTGGACTATTTTGTTGCCGTATTGTGTGACTTTTGTGTTGGGAAATAAGACCGACGAACGAATACCTTTCTTCCACGGCCATGTGTTTGAAAACTCTCCAACTGGCTCAAAAGTGAACGGACTGAGTATCCCGGTGAAGCGCATCGACCCGCAGAGATGGTGCTCCAAGTCCGGGACGCACCTGAAACTCCTGGGGGACCGGAGTGAAGATTTCCACGTCTTCGCCCATCACAAGCGAGGACACATATTACTGAAAACCTCTAACGTTCTCGATCGAGAGGAGCGCGCTGAGTATTTCCTCAGTCTCGCGCTGTGCTGTCAGAGCTGCGCGTCAGCCGAGCGCGTCGTGGCCGAAGTTGCTTCTATTAAAGTGGACGTGCTCGACACGAACGACCACGAGCCCACTTTCCAACATGCAGACGTGAAAATAACTTTGGACGACGCCACGGCCCTGAGGTCGGTGGTGTACACGGTGAAAGCGGAGGACATTGACAGCGGCAAAAACGCCGAGCTCATATACTACGCGCTCCCGAGAAACGGCAGTTTCTATGTAGTGCCCAAAACCGGCGACATCCTCCTCGTGGACTCGATTCTCGGTCTCGCGCAGTCAATAAAGTTCAGCGTGTTTGCGCGAGACCACGGCTGGCCCGCTCGGACCAGTCAGAATATGGATATAGAGATCAGTCCGCGCCAATGGCCAGCTCTTCCTAAGCTCGATAAGCGACTCTCGAGAAAGTCTCGCTCCGTGCCGGAGCCGGTGCTTATCACTGTGTCCGAAGACGCGAGTATCGGCTCCGTCATAATGAATCTGCACCCGGTGAGGTTTCAGTCCGCAAGTTTTGAGCTGATTCACCCGGACGCGGATAACTCTCCAGTCACCGTGAGTCGGGACAGCGGAGATTTGGTTATATCAAGGCGGCTCGACCGAGAGACGCAGCCGCTAGTGGAGATAACTGTCAAAGTGCAAGATAAGCGAGGTGAGTGCGCCGTTATTAATCCAAATATCTGTACAAAACGACTATATGCCCCGGTCCCTTTCCCACCTGTACAGTACGTGACAATGTCTCCAGTGCGTGCTGGCAGATTTCACCTGAACACCCCCCAAAAATGACGCGCGCCTCCATGTACCCAAATCCTCCTCCTCTTCCCTCAGACCGAGCACGTTATATGCAGCTTACCTGATTACAGATGCACAAAGTTCACAGGAATCAAAAGTTTAATTATCACTCGCGGTAAAGTCTAACGTGTAATTGACACGAGTCAAGGCGCAGATGAAGCCACGGGTGCACTGCTGCATGAATGGCAGCGATCGATTGCACCGTGATGCAGAAATATATTCATACGCACCTGCGTGACAAACGCAGAAGCTTACATACAATGATCCCTTCATTTGTAACCCGTAAACATTCGCATTAGTAGGATTTACTGTGAATTATGCAAATGCTTTGTTTTCAACATCAACAGCATCTTTGCATCCTTGTTTTGACTTGTATATATACATTTAGGTAATTTCTACAACATTTTGTGAGAGAATAACTGGATTTTCTTAATCTGTATTTCAATTCAAAGCTGTCAATAAAAAGTGGGATGAACTTAACACCGCAGGTTGGCAGCAAATTTTCTTCCCTCTTAGCTTGGGCTTTAAATAATTCCTCTCCATTTAAATGGGTCATTCAGTCAGTGCTCAACAATTTTAAGTCTTTATGTGTGTTTGAGGAGAAAAGGAGGGAATTTGGTAAGGTACACACATGGGCCCTTTTACAGAATCATCTTACTTCTGTATTCACCTGTAATTGCATCATTTGCGTTGCAGGTGAACCCTGCGCATCAAGCTGAATTTAGGCATGAATCCGGGGTGATTTAATCCTTTTTGATTTTGAAATTGTGCTCTACTTTCCTTCATCTGCTCGCATTAGCTATGTAATCCCATCTCATTCACGTTCTCATTTTGGGGATTTAAGACTGGCAGCGCAGTTAGAGCAAACTGCAGGGAAGATGAGGCGTTTAGTGGAATGTGCTCAAATTTGAGCAGTTGACCGGGCATGATTTAGCAGCCTGTGATTTAATTAGTGTTGGTTTGTTAATCAGGGACTTTCTGCTTGCTGGACCTGCGGCTCTGGAGCTACTGTGTTTTTTTCCTTGAGTCCGTGTTCCTAGCATATGTTCAAGGGCGCTTGTTTGTGTGTGTTGGGATGTTTGCAGGTCTGAGAATGCTGTGTGTGGCCCTCTCTGAAATAGTACACTGTTCAACATTTTGATTTTAAATCTAAATGATTAGATTTTACATTTGCATTTTTACAGTGCAAGTATACATAACTGATATGTCTGTGTCTTTGTAAATCTTCATACATGTAAATCATTCCAGATATCATCTCTCTTCCTACAAGTCACTCCATACATCTTCTTTTTCCATGCATGTTAATGT